AAAACTGTAATTTTATGAATAGATGCCTAAAGGAGTTTGAAAGAAATGAATCATTTCTAATAACATTGCTAAGTAAAAGAGAATATAATAAAATTAGAAAACATAAAGTCATTCAGAAAATACTTTAAATTGTGAGATGCTAAAACTATTTAAATTAAATTAGTTACCAGAGGAGGACACTCATTATCATTCTATTTAACATTACCTGAGAAGGGCTACTGAATGCAGTAAGATAAGAAAATTAAAAAAAAACCTGATATAAACTTAAAAAAAAATCAAATGATCTCTTTTTGTTGATAATATTATATGCCTAGAAAATTCAAGAAACCATGGTAAACATTACTAGATTTAAAAATAAGAACTTTCTACAGTGAGAATTACAAAACACGGCTAAAAGAAATCAGAGACCACACAAACAAATGAAAAAACATTCCATGCTCATGGATAGGAAGAATCAATATTGTTAAAATGGCCATACTACTGAAAGAAATGTATAGAATGAATGCTATTCCTGTCAAACTATCAATGACATTTTCCACAGAATTGGAAAAGACTGTTCTAAAATTCATTTGGAACCAAAAAAGAGCTTGAATAGCCAAAGCAATCCTAAGCAAAAAGAACAAAGCTGGAGGCATCACACTACCTGACTTCAAACTGTACTATAAGGCTACAGTAACTGAGACAGCATGGTACTAGTACAAAAACATACACACAGACCAGTGGAACAGGTTAGAGAACCCAGAAATAAAGTTTCACATCTACGACTATCTGATCTTTGACAAAGTCAACAGTAGCAAGCAATAGGGAAAGGACTCTCTCTCTTCTGTAAATGGTGCTGGGATAACTGGCTAGCCACATGCGGAAAACTGAAACTGGAACCCTAGCTTTTACCATACACAAAAATCAAGTCAAGGTGGATTAAAGACTTAAATGTAAAACCTAAAACTATAAAAATCCTAGAAGAAAATCCAGAAAATTGCCTTCTTCCCATTGGCCATGGCAAAGTCTTCATGATGAAGATGCCAAAAGCAATTGCAACAAAAACAAAAATTGATAAATGGGACCTAATTAAATGAAAGAGCTTCTGCACAGCAAAAGAAATTATTAACAGAGTAAACAACCTACTGAATAGGAGAAAATATTAGCAAACTATGCATACGAAAAATATCTAATATCCAGAATTTATAAGGAAATTAAATTAACAAGCAAAAAGCAAACTACTTTGTTAAAAGGTAGATAAAGAACATGAACAGACACTTTTCAGAAGAAGACATACCTATGGCCAAAAAGCATATGAATATATGCTCAGCATCACTAATCATTAGGGAAATGCAAATCAAAATCATGATGACATGCCATCTTGCATCAGGCAGAATGGATATTATTAAATGTCAAGAAATAAATGATGCTGGTGAAGTTGCAGAGAAAAGGGAATGCTTATACATTGCTGGTGGGAATATAAATTAATTCAGCCGCTGTGGAAAGCAGTCTGAAGATTTCTCAAAGAACTGAAACAGAAATACCAATCCCATTCCTGGTTGTATACCTAAAGTAATATAAATTGTTTAGCCATGAAAATACATGCATATGTATGTCATCACAGCATTATTCACAATAGCAAAGACATGGAATCAACCTAGGTGCCAACCAGTGGTGGACTTGATGAAGAAAATGTGTTACATATATACCGTGGAATACTACACAGCCATAAAAAAGAACAAGATAATATTTGCAGCAACATGCATGGAGTTGGACGCCATTATTCTAAGTGAACTAATGCAGGAACAGAAAAACAAATACCACATATTCTTGCTTATAAGTGGTAGCTAACATTGAGTACACGTGGACACAAAGATGGGAACAAGAGACACTGGAGCTTACTTGAGGGTAGACAGTGGGAGGAGGCCAAGGATTGAAAAATTACCTATCAGATACTATGCTTATTACTGGGTGATGAAATAATCTGGATACCAAACCCCTGCAACACACAATTTACCTATATAACAAACCTGCACATGTACCCCTGGACCTAAAATAAAAGTTAAAAAAAATTGACAAAGGGCATGAACAGATACTTCTTAAGAGAATACATGCATGTGGCCAACAAACATATGAAAAAATACTCAATATTACTAATCATTAGGGAAATGCAAAATGAAACCCCAACAAGATACCATCTCACACTAGTTAGAACGGCTATTGTTAAAAAGTCAAAAAAAGCGGCTATTGTTAAAAAGCCAACAGATGCTGGCAAGGTTGCAGAGAAAAGGAACGCTTATATATTGCTGGTGGGAATGTAAATTAGTTCAGCCATTGTGGAAAGCAATGTGGAGATTTCTCAAAGAATTTAAAACAGAACCACCAGTTGACCCAGCAATCCCATTACTGGATATATATCCAAAGGAATAGAAATCATGTCTACCATAAAGGCACATGCATGCATATGTTCATTGTGGCACTTTTCATAATAGCAAAGACATGGAATCAACCTAGACGCCCATCAGTGGTAGACTGGATAAAGAAAATGTGGAACATGAACATCATGGAATACTATGCAGCCATAAAAAAGAATAAGATTATGTTCTTTGCAGCAACATGGATGGAGCTAGAGGCCGTTGTCTGAAGCAAACTAATGTAAGGACAGAAAACTAAATACTACATATTCTCACTTATAAGTGGGAGTTAAACATTGAGTCCACACTGACACAATGGAGGGAACAATAAACACTGGGCCTACTTGAGGGTAGAGGGTGGGAGGAGGGTTTGGATTCCAAAACTACCTATTGGGTATTATGCTGACTATCTGGGTGACAAAATTATCTATACATGAAACCACCATGACACACAATTTAGCCATGTAACAAATCTGCACATATACCCCTTGAACTTAAAATCAAAATGTAAAAGAAAGAGAAGAATTTGGTGAGGAGATGAATAGAAGATTTTTTCTGAGACGGAGTCTTGCTCTGTCACCCAGGCTGGAGTGCAGTGTGGTGTGATCTCGGCTCACTGCAAACTCCGCCTCCCGGGTTCACGCCATTCCCCGGCCTCAGCCTCCCAAGTAGCTGGGACTACAGGTGCCTGCCACCACACCCAGCTAATTTTTTGTATTTTTAGTAGAGACAGGGTTTCACTGTGTTAGCCAGGATGGTCTCAATCTCCTGACCTCGTGGTCCACCTGCCTTGGCCTTCCAGAAGATAAATTTTTAAAAAGCGTTAGTTTATCTCTGTGTTAACAAAATACTTAGAAGTGAGAAACAAATTTCTACTTACAATTATTGGAAAAATATAAAATACTTAGGAATAAATCAAACAAGAAAAGTATATAAAATTATAAAATCTTACTGAAAGAAAATAAGATTTGAACAAATGGAAAGGCATATCATGTTGAATAGAAATACTTAACAGAAGCATTAAATACACACACCTAATAAGTGTATAAACATAAGGCAGTAAAATTAGAGTTGGCATTCTTTGGAGGGACGATTGGCCAAAGAAGGTTAAAGTTCATACTGAAGAGTAAATGCTTCAGAATAGCTAAGAAACTATGCAAAGGGGAAATAGTGAGAGGTCTTATTTTGCTGGATATTAGTATAAATAATAAAACTACTGCATCATCATCGTGTGGTATTGGGAAAGGAATAAAAATTGAAGAAATAGAACCCAGTATAGATGAGTTCAATATATTTCCAAAGTAGTAATTCATTTTAGCAGGAAATGAGTCAATTATTTAATAAATTATGTTTGGACAACTGATTATCCATCTGGAAGAAAAAAAAAGAGGATCACCATTTTATTTTACCTTTAAATATAAATTCCAGATGGCTGAGAAACTTACATGGTCAAAATAAAATTGTAAAAGCCTTGCAAGAAGATCTAGAAAATTGAATGTATAAAAATGTAGGAACTGAGAGCATCTTTTCCAGAAGCTATAAAAGAAAAGATAGACATATTTGAACTTTGATGTCACAAAGGATATCATAAATAAAACAATAGACAGACATTCAATTTACAAGAAATGTTTGTAACTGATTTTTTCAAATAGCTGAACATTTGGCCAAAAGTAACACAATTCAATAAAAAAACAGGCAAAGAATTATGAATCCAAATGTCCAAAAAATATATGGAAGGATTCTCAAGTTTGTTACTAGTAGGGAAAATGCAAATTAAAGTAAAAGTGTCATTTTACATCAATCAGATGACAAAAATTGAAGAGTTATAATAAATATTACTGGTGGTGATTTAGGGAAAGGATTAGTCTCATGGCTGTGAAAAATATGAGGTGTTATAGGTTTTGGGAAAGCCATTTGCCAACATCTATTAAATTTTAAAATATACGTGTGCTGCTTGGCCCAGCAATTCCAGTTCTTGGACTCTATTCCATAGAAAGATATTCACATGTAAGGCCATGTGTTTGTAGTGGCAAAAATCTCATTAAAAATAATGATTAGTACTATACCTATTGACCTGTAGTGATTTCCACAAGGTATTCTGCACAAAAGTATAAGGAGACAAGCTATAGAAATTGTGAGATCCCTGTAAAATAAACAATAATACTCATGTATATAGACTTACATGCGCATTTCTATATGGGATTACCTGGTCAGGGAGAGAAGTATGGAATTGGGCTAATGTGAAGAGTGGAGAAAAAAGCAGATGGATAGCTTCTCTGCTTTGAAAGAATGACCATCAGCCACTGTTGAGGATATTTAAAATCAGATGGTATTGACTGTGAATAAAATTCCTAATGAGAAATTCAAACAATTAAAGCTTACCAAATTGACCACTATGAAGGGTATACATGCTTGATATTTGTGTACATATATATGTATTATGTTTAAATGTGTATATATGTATATAATTCCTTTGTCATTTTTCTTATTGCTTCACATATTGGAAGTATTATACAACCCATAAATAAGCAATAGATTATTAAAACTTTGACTTAAAAAGCAATCACACCTATAATACCCTCTAATACTGTATATAAATATATGTTTTATTTTTTGAGCATTTTAAAATTCAGATTCCCTTAACATTTCTTAAAAACACTAATTTCAGATTATACAGTTTCCCAGTCCTGAATTATACATTTTACTACTATGTGAAGCTGGATGCCCTTCGGAGAAATTGGCAAAGGATAATGACATGTAAAATAGCGTTCATTTCTCATTTCCCAACCATGAAGAGTAAAATCCACAGTATAAACATAAAATATTCTCCTCAGAGTTCATGTCTGCAGAACTGGCTTATTTGCACAGAAAATTTCATGTTTAATCAAGAAGATCTTTAACCTGAAAGGAGACCATGACATGCTTTAAAAGAGTAAAGAATCTTCTGTTTCTATCTTCCTTTCTTTACAAAAATAATTGGGTTTTGATTGAAGTTTGTTATTACTGAATATGTCTTTTTTGGAAGAAGATCATTAAGTTTGAATTGCACATGTGCTATATTTTCAGAATTCTCAGATAAGGACTTAATATGGGTTTGGATTGTAATCTGAATTGTAATCACCACATGTCAAGGGAGGGACCTGGTGGGAGGTAATTGGATCACGGGGGTTGTTTCCCCCATGCTGTTCTAGGATATGGAGTAAGTTCTCATGATGTGTCTGATGCTTCCCTCTTTCTTCTCTCTCCTGCCACCATAAGAAGATTGCCTTGCGGTTCCCCTTCACCTTTTGCCATGATTGTAAGTTTCCTGAGGCCTCCTCAGCCATGCAGAACTGTGAGTCAAGTAAGCCTCTTTCCTTTACAAATTGCCCAGTCTCAGGTAGTATCTTTATAGCGGTGTGAAAATGGACTAATCAGGGCTGTGCATAATTTGTCTTTACAAAACACATGTTGAAACTGCATGTGTTTCAAGTTCTTGAGGATACTATTAGTCTCATGTAAGAGAAGACTCAGCTAATAGTTACTAGACAAAATGAACATTTATTTTCTTATTTAAAGGAAGTCTAAATATAAGTAGTTACAAAATTATAGTTCAACAATTTTATCAAGACCAAATTGTCTATCTTCCCATTCTTCCATCTCCAGTAATTTGATGCTATCTCCCATCGTAGACATGGGATAACAACTGCACATTTAGCAGCAGGTTTTTACATATCCATCTCCAAAGTTAGGCAACAAGAGGAACAAAGGGACCCTCGTATTATCTACCTGATTTTCTGTATACAGTCAGAGGATGAAATCTTCCCAGTTGCTTCCTGAGTCCTGGGATATTCTACCTTTGTCTCATAATTCATAACCAGGTCCCATGATCACTTAAAATAAATCATTGGCAAAAGAAAATGCAACTACTAGTGCTAGCTTGGAGTAGCCAAGATTTATCCTGTGGGACTGGGCACATTGCTGCTGAACAAAACTCAGCTTCTGTTAGGCAGGGAGAAGGAGTAATGGCTTTGGGTAGGCAATCAACAGTGACTGCCACGTGAGCAAATACTTTCCAGGTATTGTCTGGTTCTACCGCTCTACAAGTCATCAGGAAGGAACAGTAGAAAGCATAATCAAATACTATCAGGCCAGTTGCTAACAAGCATCCAGTTATTTAATGGCATCTGTTGATAGTCTGAGAAGTGAGGATATTAGTTCATGTGTTCGGTAGAAATATAGCTAAATCAACAAAGAGTGAGAGAGGTAAATGTTTAAGGAAAAATAAAGAATTATCTCAATCTTTTATTAAGAATGTATAGAAAACTGAGCTATGTAGTTATATATGTGATATAATAAGATATGAGTTTATATGAATAAATAATGTAATATATAATAATGATACCAATAACACCCACTGAACACTTTAGGCTAGGCATTATGTCAAGTGCTTGATATGCATATTGCTGTTTAATCTTCATAATTATCCTTTGAGATAGTGTGTCAGGCATCTATTCCTAAGACCACCCCAGGTTCAGTGACTTTCTAGAAGGACTCATAGAACTCAGAAGTTGTAATAGTTACAATTACAGTTTATTGTTGTGAAAGGATATACAGCAAAATCAGCAAAGGGAATAGGCACATGGGACTAAATCCAAAGGAAAGCAGCCTCAGGCTTCCAAGAGTCCTCTCCCAGTGGAGTTGCACAGAATGTGCCTAATTCCTCCAGCAATGAGTTGAGACAAGTGTGAAATGTTGTCTTTCAGCAGGGCTCTCCTAGCCTAGGAGTCTAAGGGTTTTTGTTTTTATTTTTTATTTTTCCATAAATTATTGGGGTACAGGTGGTATTTGGTTACATGAGTAAGTTCTTTAGTGGTGATTTGTGGGATTTTGTTGCACCCATCACCTGAGCAGCATACATTGCACCGTATTTGTAGTTTTTAATCCCTCATCCCCTCCCACTCTTCCCCGCAGCTCCCCAAAGTCCATCGTATAATTCTTATGCCTTTGTGTCCTCATAGCTTAGCTCCCACATATCAGTGAGAACATACAATGCTTGATTTTCCATTCCTGAGTTACTTCACTTAGAATAACAGTCTCTAATCTCATCCAGGTCACTGCAGATACTGTTACTTCATTCCTTTTTATGGCTGTGTAGTATTCCATCATATATATATCATATATATAAAATGTACATATATAATATATATGATATATTATGAATATAAATTTTGGAATTTTTTTTTAATTCTGTGAATTAGAAATATATATATATATATATATATATATATATATAAAATATGTATCTATCACAGTGTCTTTATCCATTCATTGATTGATGGGCATTTGGGTTAGTTTCACGATTTTGCAATCGTAAATTGTGCTGCTATAAACATGCTTGTGCAAGTGTCTTTTGAATAATGACTTATTTTGCTCTGGGTAGATACTCAGTAGTGAAATTGCTGGATCAAATGGTAGTTCTACTTTTAGTTCCTTAAGGAATCTCCATATTGTTTTCCATAGCAGCTGTACTAGTTTACATTCCCACCAACAGCGTAGAAGTGTTCCCTGTTCACCACATCCATACTAACATCTACTGTTTTTTGATTTTTTGATTATGGCCATTCTTGCAGGAGTGAGGTGGTATCTCATTGTGGCTTTGATTCGCATTTCCCTGATCATTAGTAATGTTGAGAATTTTTTCATGTTTGTTGGCCGTTTGTGTATCTTCTTTTGAGAATTGTCTTATTCATGTCTTCATTCTACTTTTTGATAAGATTGTTTTTTTCCTTAGTGATTTGTTTGAATTCATGGTATATTCTGGATATTAGTCCTTTGTCAGATGTATAGATTGTGAAGATTTTCTCCCACTTGTGAGTTGTCTGTTTACTCTGCTGACTGTTCTGTTTGCCACGCAAAGCTCTTTAGTTTAATTAGGTCCCAGCTATTTATGTTTGTTTTTATTATATTTGCTTTTGGGTTCTAGGTTATGAAACCCTTGCCTAAGCCAATGTCTAGAAGGGATTTTCCAATGTTATCTTCTAGAATTTTTATAGTTTCAGGTCTTAGGTTTAAGTACTTAATCCAATTTGAGTTGATTTTGCATAAGGTGAGAGATGAGGATCCAGTTTCATTCGCCTACATGTGGCTAGCTAATTATCCCAGCACCATTTGTTGAAAGAATGTCCTTTCCCCACTTTATGTTTGTGTTTACTTTGTCAAAGATCATTTGGCTGTAAGTATCTGGGTTTGTTTCTGGGTTCTCTCTTCTGTTCCATTGGTCTTTGTGCCTATTTTTATACCAGTACCATGTTGTTTTGGTAACTATGGCCTTACAGTATAGTTTGAAACCAGATAGTGTGATGCCTCCAGATTTGTTCTTTTTGCTTGGTCTTGCTTTGGCTCTGCAGGCTCTTTTTTGGTTCCATATGAATTTTGGAATTGTTTTTCTAATTCTATGAAGAATCATGGTGGTATTTTGATGGGGATTGCATTGAATTTGTAGATTGCTTTTGGCAGTATGGTCATTTTCACAAAATTGATTCTACCTATCCATGAGCATGGGATATGTTTCCATTTGTTGATGTTGTCTATGATTTCTTTCAGTAGTGTGTTATAGTTTTCCTTATAGAGGTCTTTTGACTCCTTTGTTAGGCATATTCCTAAGTATTTTATTGTATTTTTTTGCAGCTATTGTAAAAGGGATTGTGTTCTTGATTTGATTCTCTGCTTGGTTGCTTTTGGTGTATGGAAGAGCTACTGATCTGTGTACATTCATCTTGTGTCTGGAAACTTTGCTGAATTCTTTTATCAGTTCTAGGAGCTTTCTGGAGGAGTCCTTAGGGTTTTCAAGGTAAGCGATCATATTGTTAGCAAACAGTGACAATTTGACTTTCTCTTTACTACTTTGAATGCCCTTTATTTCTTTCTCTTGTCTGATAGCTCTGGTCAGGACATCCAGTACTATGTTGAAGAGAAGTGGTGAGAGTGGGCATCCTTGCCTTGTTTCCATTCTCAGAGGGAGTGCTTTCAACTTTTACCATTCAGTATTAAGTTGGCTGTGAGTTTGTTGTAGATGGCTTTTATTACATTAAGGTATGTCCCTTGTATGCTGATTTTGTTGAGAGTTTTAACCATAAAGGGATGCTAGATTTTGTTGAATGCCTTTTCTGCATCTATTGAAGTGATCATGTAAGTTTTGTTTTTAATTCTGTTTATCTGTTGTATCAGATTCATTGACTCACATATGTTAAACCATCCCTGTATCCCTGGTATGAAACCCACTTTATCATGGCAGATTATCTTTTTTTTTTTTTTTTGATATGGAGTTTCACTCTTGTTGCCCAGGCTGGAGTGCAATGGCATGTCTCGGCTCACTACAACTTCCACCTCCCGGGTTCAAGCGATTCTTCTGCCTCAGCCTCCTGAGTAGCTGAGATTACAGGCATGCACCAACATGCCAATACAAAATAAATAATTTTGTATTTTTAGTAGAGACAGGGTTTCTCCATGTTGGTCTGGCTGGTCTCGAACTACCGACCTTAGGTAATCCACCCACGTCAGCCTCCCAAAGTACTGGGATTACAAGTGTGAGCCACTGCGCCTGGCCGTAGATCTTTTTTATATATTGTTGGATTCAGTTATCTAGTATTTTGTTAAGGATTTTATCACCTATGTTCATCAAGGATGTCGGTCTGTAGTTTTATTTCTTTCCTGTTTTTTTTTTTTTGAGACAGAGTCTCGCTCTGTCGCCCAGGCTGGAGTGCAGTGGCGCTATCTTGGCTCACTGCAAGCTCTGCCTACTGGGTTCATGCCATTCTCCTGCCTCAGCCTCCCGAGTAGCTGGGACTACAGGTGCCCGCCACTATGCCTGGCTATTTATTTTGTATTTTTAGTATAGATGGGGTTTCACTGTGTTAGCCAGGATGGTCTCAATCTCCTGACCTCGTGATCTACCTGCTTTGGCCTCCCAAAGTGCTGGGGTTACAGGTGTGAGCCACCGCGCCCAGCCTGTAGTTTTCTTTTTTGGTTATGTCCTTTCCTGATTTTGGCATTAGGGTAATGCTGACTTTATAGAATGAATTAGGGATGGTTCCTTCTTTCTTTATCTTGTGAAATAGTGTCAAAAGGATTGGGGACAATTTTTCTTTGAATGTCTGGTAGAATTCTGCTGTGAATCTGTCAGGTCCTGGGCTATTTTTTTGTTGGCAATTTTAAAATTGCCATTTCAATCTTGCTGCTCGTTACTGGTCTGTTCAAGGTATGTAATTCTTCCTAATTTAAGTTAGGAGGGTTGTATTTTTCCAGAAATGTATCCATCTATTCTAGATTTTCTAGTTTATGTGTGTAAAGGTGTTCATAGTG